GGGTTGGCGGGGCTTTTTTTTTTGCGGGGTGGTGTCTTCTTGGGCTCGATCCCGTGAGGAAATTGGCGAAAGCCCACGTTGCATTGTGGGAGGAGGCGGAGGCGGCGGCCATGCTCAGCTGCTCCTTCCCCACACGTGTGTGTGTGTGTGTGTGTGTGTGGGGGGGGGGGCTCGGCAAACTTTTCCTGTGCCCACGTCTGCGTGGAGGCGGCGAAAAGGGGGAACGGGGACAAGCGGGAGCTGGGCTGATGACTTGTGGGGAGAGACAGTTGCTGCTGCTGCTGCCTGAGCTTTCTTGGCCTGTTGCGCTTTAAACTCAAAGGCGCGTTATCTTAGGACAATATTTGCAGGCAGGTTGTGTGTTGCACTTGTTTTAAGGCCGCGTGGTTGTTTGTCATGCTATGTCTGCAGCTGCTGGTTGGATATGCCACAAATTGGATGGCTAAATTTTTAAGCTTCTTAGGCTTTTGTGTTCAATGCATAAAGTTTTAGGGTACTTTTATGTGATGGTCGGTAGCTGTGGGAATAGAATTTTTCAGGACTGATGCTGTGTAGAAACTGAAGCTCTTTAAAGGGCCTAGGAGATACACAAAGGGCTGTGTTACTTTCTTGTGGTGGTGACATTGCACCAGAGACATGGAAAATGAGCTGACTTGCATGTATTTCTTTCTTAAATCTTCTTCCTCCATGGTAGTGTTGGCAAAGATAATAGTATCTGAGAGAGAATTAATCTTGTGTTATAGTTCTATAAAAGAAGCCTCAGTGTGCAATTTAGCATTAATAATGGATTGTATGCTCCTTTTTGTTTAAAACAACAATAAATGCAGTGACTTGAAGGCTATGAGAACAGCTGTGACTTTTGCACATGTGAGTTATGGAATGTAAAACGTAACCAACAGTAAAATAGTATGTACATGACTATTAGAAAACTCTCTGGTTAAAGTGTAGAGCTGGGGGTATTAAAACCAAGCTAACTCCAAGGTGGGGATAAAAGAATCCATCAGATTTAGGCTTTAATCCTGTAATCTTTGTTGGCAAACCCATGGCCCTTTGCAGAGACCCATGGACTTAGAGTCCATACTGTCACAGGAGTCTGCCCACAAGAATCAGCTTTCAGGATTGGGTTCCTAGATGGTTGGAAATAAGCTTTTAAGAAATGGAAATGTTAGTAGAAATTTTTCTGTTTTTTTTTTCATCTTTCATGTAGAATTGCAGTTTTACAATCGCTGTAGAGTATTTGTGTAACAACATTTAAGCATTTTGTTCTGGTTTATTTTCTTTCATTTTAAACTACTTTTCAAGAGAGAGTCTCTCTTGTAATGCTTAACAATTATTACAAACTATTAAGTTTAAAATACTAGATTTCGGATAGTATAAAAGGAATATCAATCAATGTGGGATATTCTTGTGAATAGTTAATAAATGTTTTAAGCTATTTTCTTTTCCCTTTAAAAAAAATGCAACCTTCTTGATTGCAAAGGACAAAGATTAAATAAGACATTGTAGGTCTCTTAAGAGGTAGCTAGAGAAGAATATTTATATACTTAACTACGCCACACATTTTAAATCTTTTCTCTGATACTTTCAAAGATAGATAAAAAATTATAGATTTGACTTTAAAAAGAAGACTCAAAGATCAGACAAGAGCTGTCTTAGAATTCTGAAGGAAGATTCAGACAATTAATAAAAATATTCAAGATCTTACTGAGCAAGAGGGAGGTTCTGATGTAGAGATCAATGGATCAGTGTTAGAGAATAACCAAGAAACTGGATGAAACTAGGGACATAAGTGACTAGTCAACTGCCCTATAAGGGTATGCTTATTGGGTAGTTGAGTAGTGACTTGCCTAGTGGCTCCCCCAACCCCTTGCTGCCT